AAATTTCAAAGTTCAAAAGCTTAAGAGAGCGATGACAGTTGATAGGACAACTTTTTTTGCAACAAAACGGACATTTGTCTAAGAAATTACACATAGACAGAGTATTATTTGTATGATAGGTGCCATGACATATTAATCTCTACTAACGCAGGGTGATTTATAAAGGTGTCATTTTGGATGCATTGGAGGAGATATTGCATTTTAACGCAGAATCATTACATTATGCATATGGTATATTGTAGATGAGCGGTTAACTACAACTAACATAAAAAACAAAAAAAAAGTTAGACTGTACACCACACAGACGAGCAATGTGTCCCGGTATGAACAGCGATCGTCTTCCTCCAGCTGGCCGCTTTCGTGGCATTTGTGTGTTTCGCGGTGGCGGCAGAAAGGCCGTACATCGCCGCCGCCGGATTGGAGTTCTTCATCACGCTGGCGTTTCTTCTGCTCTACTTATTAAAGCTCAACAAGAGGTTCAGTTACTTATGCTGGCCTCTAATGGTAAGAACATTTTTAATTATGTGCCGCAACTTTACAAAACTGTATTTAGATGTGAGTCTGCCATCCATTTTTCAGGATGTTGCCAACTCACTTGTTGCAGCTGTCTTCATCTTCATCATCAGTCTTGTAGCTGTCTCCACTTATTCAGCTAAAGGTACTTTGATTGGAGGGGTAAGTTCATCGTACGTTATTCATCTTCTTAGACGTGCTCATCAGCGCTCAGTACTTAATTGCTTACCCAGTGCTTTTATCTAGTGTAGCAATCACAGTTAACATTATCTTATTGTAGAGTTTAATTTCACCACCTGGGTTCCATAAGTGTGGAGTTTGCATGTTCTCCATGTGTCGTCGTGGGGTTTCCTCTGGGTACTCCGGTTTTCCCCCCACAGTCCAAAGACATGCTGAGGCTAATTGGAGTTACTAAATTGCCCATAGGTGTGCATGTGTGAGTGTGCCCTGCGATGGGCTGCCCCCCGTCCTGGGCTATTTCCCGCCTTGCGCCTGTAGCTTCCGGGATAGGCTCCGGACCCCCCGCGACCCAGAAGGATAAACGGGTTGGAAAATGGATGGATGGATGTGCCCTGTGATGGAAAGCATCAAATCCTGGCTATATCCCTGCCTTGTGTCTTATGCTGATCGGACTAGGTTCCAACCCTGCCCAATTATGCCTAGGATATGCTCCAGATCACCCCCACTGCTCTTTACTTGATAAGTTGTTGGACGATGGCAGAGCGTTGTCCTCCCATTTCTCTTTATATGCATTCCCAGATTGTCTTGACGATGTCGGCTTGCCTTTGGAGCGTGGATGGCATCCTTCTTTTTAGGAAGATCTTCAACAAGGCCACAAATACCGCAAATTAAAGACAACGAAGCTTGAACTTTCAGTACACCCACAAAAAGAATGATAAACCATTCTTGATCAATAGATCATATTGGCATAATGTGAAAAAGTAATATGACAATGAAAGTAGCGATAAACAGCATTTCTAAATATTACACTATATAATATTACACATTAACCGCGGATCTTTATGGGGAGGGGCAGTTCACATTGCAATATGGTATTACGTTTTATTAATTATTATTATTATCGATTGTTAATAAAATTCACATTTAATACTACTAATAAATTACTCCTAAAGTATTAACTTGTGTGACGTGTGTGTGTAGCCTACATAACTTATGAAGAACGTTTCTTTTGCTCTTTTATTTAATAGGCCTATAGCTTTGCAATAAAACGATAGTGTAAAAGTGTTCTTGTATAAAGAATATTGTGGTTGCTTAATGCTTATACGTTTAAACTCAGCGATTCCAAATACTAAAGCCCGGAACCAAAACTTCTTCTAAAAGGCAAAAAAAAAAAATGCTACATTAAAAAGTGAAAATGAAATCCCTGGGCTCGTCCTTGCCTGGAAACATCCTTTCGCTGGACTGTTCCGATGCTGCTCCTTTGTCGGATACGCTCCGTTTCCGCGTGTGTGATTATTTCCGTTTCCAGTCTGAAAGACCCACGGTCTTTTTAAGTTCACAGAAGTTAATTTCCAGTGCTGTGGACAATCTAAAAGGCACATAAAACTTTTGAATAAAACAAAGCGTTATCGCTCCGATGGGAGACATGGAGGATCCCGCCGGCGAACGGCAGCAGCCCGGCGCTCTGGGTCTCCTTCTCAACAAGGATTTCATCGCTTCGCGAAAAGGGAAACTTCTCGCTGCTGAAGTGGTAAAAATACTTTCCTGCATATTCCTATATTTTCATATCAAGATGTTGTGGGGATTTCCTTTCTTTTGCATATTCCAGATGCTACGAGTATCGCAGAGGTTTCAGGTTTCAAGTAGGGACTTTACTTTTTAGTTCAAAGTAACAGAAACAGATTGAAGCGAGGCATTACTGCATTAATATATAAACGTGTACATCATAAATATGTCTAATCCTCATTTCCAAATGTGGTTCTTATGCTAGAATCATGCGTAAAATATTTTGGCAGTACCGGTAGTGTTCAAAGTGGCTGCAGTTGCGTTTGCCATCAGATTTTGTCAATGACGGATATAGCGATTATATTCCTATTCTTTTAAAATATAGTTGTAAGTATATGGTAATAATAATATATTGGTAAAACGATCGAGCTACTGTGCCATAAAATTAGATTAAATGCATGCACTGAATGTAAACCTGGAATGTATGGAGAGCACATCCCATTCAAATTTATTTAGTTATTTAGTTAACACAAAATTAATAATGTTTTGGCTATTTATGTAGCTCCTAAGAAGAGACAATTTTCTGAGCGAAACACGTTTATTGGACTCGGCAACATGAAACACTGATTTTAAGGGAGCATATCTGTGAAAACGCATGCTTTCTCTCCATGTAACTCATTGCGATGTCACATGACTGCTTAAACATTGAGGGGGGGGGGTGTTCCTGTACACCCTGACCCTCTTCCTCTCCGCAGAATGACCAGTGTTCATGCCATTTTGTTTCACTAGTTTTTTGGGACCAAATCAGCCCTGAACTTCAAAGCCCCTAATCCCACATGGTGCCCCTACAATGTTGGTTGGGGCTTGTCCCTCCCATCCACACTTAAACCTATATCCTTGGGCACAGTGTCTATCTGTCAGTGATTGTATTTGTTTTAATTCAGTAATGTTCAGCACGAGTCACTGGATATTGTCAAAACCAATGAATAGGTCAAGCCAACTATGCCTGATGTGATTGTTCACCCGTTGAAAAGGTTCTCCCAAATTGTACTCGTCACGAGTGTCAAGTATGTAGTTCTTAGAATTATATTTTGTTACAGTGCTTAATTTTGACAAGATGCATCAGTACCTCAGTATCTTCTCTGACTATGGCCAAACATGAAAGATATATATTCATCACGTCCATCGACAACGTATTTCCTTTCCAGCATCCAATGTGATCCTAATATCTTAGGCTATGTGTATTTCAGTACAGTATCAACAGAGGTCATTGGTAAAAAGGGAACCTGAAAACATGCAAAACCCAAGGCGTGATGTCTTGAAATCACAAAGATGTAAATCATGCCCTGTAGAAGCTGCATACACTGCAAGCAAGAAATGTTTGATCTATCAGACATCTGATAGACTTCTGATAGTTTTATCACATTGTCTCCAAAGTTAAGTGAGGACAAAAGGCTGCCTGTTTGCAGTACTGGGGACTTCCAGAAAGGTCTGTCTGTGGTTTTCCAGTGACCAGATCAGCCTGAACATGACAGCGTCAGCTCAATTAAAACACGCCCCTTTCAAGTGTGAAATCGTTTAGCAAGAGGATATAGGCTGCAGCATCCAAGCAGAGCAAAAGTTTGAAAGTTCTGTGTTTTTGAGCATGCAGATCCAGGCATGCCACCTGCAGACTCAGTAAATGTGCATTTCATTATCTCAGACACACTGTCTTCCCATTGCGCAAGGCCTTGCGGAAAAGAATGCGGCGACTCCCAAGCACTCGTTGGAAGGAGAGGTGTGCGTATAGCTCACCCGCTGCGAGGCAGCTGCAGACAGGAAGCCATTGGCCGCGATAGCTCTGCAGAGACAGACATCTGGCATACGACCAAAGCGAAACGTGAAGGGCAATTTCAGGCCGTGGCCCAGCTCTGGTAGCACTTCGCTGTGTTGCTGGGGTCTGCCGTTCATGCCGCCACACCTCACGCCAAGTGTCGAGGCTTAAGCAGACACCTCTAGATCAAAATGAACAAAAAGGCGACCTGTTGACTTGTCTGCTCCTTGCTAGTTTCTACCAAAGATGGGTTCCCACATCCAGCTAGGGTGACCACCTAATCCATGTCAGGAGGGACATTATGAGCTACTTCAGCTTTTACAAACTACTTTAAAGCTGAAAGGGTTCTGTGCTCTGCTAAAATGTTTGGTTAGTTCCTAGATTGAAAGACTCATCCAGCTGTTTCGCATTAACATTACTGACACATATGCATGATTATAGGAGACTGACCAATCAGCATAC